AGGTTCCGCCCATTCTGGGTATGCTGCAAGCCCTACCTGTTGTTTCTGTAAGTCCTAGGATTGCTCCTCTCCGCAAATCTCTCTCTAGTAGGCAAGGTCAGCTCTTCTACTTATATGATGTGTTTATAGAATACTTGAGTGTATGACTATCTAGCACATTGGGCTTCTCTCCGACCCACGCCACACATTGTACAGTGCTCCTTAAAAGATCATTGATATGTTGCCCGCGATGAATAGCCATTCAGCTCAGTGTTTACCCGTGGAATTAGGCCTCCTTTTCTACGAAGATTTCTTCCCCAAAAAGTGGTGGCAGTGGAAACTACGTGCGCCGGAAAAAGTCTCAAAAAACCTGCAGCCCCAGCTAGACGAGGCCTAGACACCGGGTCCACATGAGGTCCGCATATTCATCTATATCTCCCTTCTTTGTATTATGCGGGGCAGACTTGATGCAGTCCACCACCGCCGTACCGGGTGTTAAAGATTTAAACTGTCCATGACTCTGAGCTTGATGATGGCCAGAAAGTGTTGGAAATATCGCGCAATGTAATGGGCGCAATATTCATGGAACAAAAGTAGAAGTTGACTAAAAGAGTGTCATGTTCGGATTACGGCTAGAACTGTAGGAAATGTGCGCTACAAGTACAAGTGTAAGCGACTCAGAGCCTAAGCCACAGCATAAACGAGTGTTGCGCCATCTAGGCATAGAAAACCCCCAATAACCTCCTTGCGCCCACGCCATACAGCCGCTCATATGTCCAATAGGTAGCCTGAAGCCCTACCATATAACCTACTCCAACCTCTTAAATACACACGAGATCGTGTCGGGAACCTAGACGAAATGGAGGGCCTATACGTCCACAACACTCCGTGTCTCCATTTCCAACAGAAAGACGAAGAGTATAATGACCTGCCATTTAAGATATAAGGGTGAAAGGGCATTAATCAGAAGATAGGACCAATAGATTAAGGGGTGATTACCCCAGAGTAGGTATGAGCAATGTAAATGTAGTCGGAAGCATCCTCATATTATTATTATTAATTCATATTATTGTCCTATATGAGTCTATGTCTAGAGGGCAAGACTGAACGCCTGTACGCGGTGTCCTCCACGTACCTGGGAGTGAAATATTCTCCCAGAGCCAAGTTCAGTCAAGTTTCGCAATATCAAAGAAGTTGGCCCACGAGGCAAAATTTAACATTACTCCACCACGTCGTTTTTCCGCTCCCAACGAGTTTGACTCCTACCAAAGTCTCATCAAGTCTACAAGTACGGCCAAGTACACCCTCATGCCAATGAACACACCTCTCTTCGACTTTTTCTGGCCTCAGCTGGTCACCAAATACACGCCCACGCTGTTTTTACACCCGACGGAGGAAGCAAAGCGTGGCGCACAAATCTGGAAGATAATTCTTTGGGATGGACGTGAGGGGGATCAGGACAAGTTTACAAGATGATACAAAGGAAGGATATTACCTTGAAGGGCATGAAATTCTGAATTTTGGCAAGAGTTTTACGAATTGAGCTTTGTGCGCGCCAAGACTTCGCTTGCGAGAGTGCAGCTGACACTATAAAGACAAGCAAACGATGGAAGGTGTTGTGGTCCGCCTCCTGGTGGTGTTCTCCGGTATATTCTGAGTAGCCTGGGCACCTACTCCACTTGAGAAGGAGACACCTCAGACCATATTTCGCGCGAAGAAAAGTTGAAAGATGATGAAGGCATGTCTGGATAACTCAGGGTTTTTGAGACGTTCCCCTGGGTGGGTATTCACGGATGAGGGTTGACTTGGGGTGAAGAAAAAGCCGCCATAACTTCACAGTGGTAGTTGCAAATGAAACCCGAGGCATGAATGCTCTTCTCTTACGTTGAATCATCTATTCTATACTTTTCTTTGACATTGTGTCATAGCTAGATAGCTGCATACACAAATAAAATTTGATGCAAAAATAAAAAATAAATAAAACCAACGGATAGTGAATCCGTCGCAATTACGGCTGTAGAATCTCTCGTGACCTCTTCGGGGGTAATCATGGATACTTTAAAGACAGTATGACTTTATCTGAACACGGTCATAGATAGACTGGTTATAGCAGGCACTGACAAATTTGCGACACCAATGGGCGAAATAGGTGAGGCACTCGATGCCTTCAAAGCCCACGCTACGACGTTACAATTGAAGCCGAAGGCTTCACGAATAGAAGAACGGATGCTGGCCTTAGAGAAGACAGTCACGAAGAAACTCGAGGAGCCGTCGCGCAAGACGGCTGCTTCGGCAGTACAAGGAATGAGAGGGTGACTCCCATACGCCTCAATCGTCGTATCGCCAGCGACTAAAGCGGCAGTCTGGATAAGAGTATAAGGAGCTGATAACATAGAGCCGGCAGAGCTGCTCGAAAAGGCAAAAATACACATCGAGGGGGCAAACGCAGTAAGGAAGCTGCGGAGCAATGATATGGAGGTGTTTGTGCAGCCGGTCTCCCAGCGGGACGCGGCCCTGAGTATGGCGCAATGAAAGGAGTTCCGCGTCCTAAACCAGGATTACCCTGTTGTAATTTTGGGGATCCCCTTAGAGACATATATAAGAGAAGGAAAACCCCAGACAAAGGCATCTTCATAAATAAAGTAATGGCGGAAACAAAATCTCAGATTCTCGATCTAAAGATCAATAGAGTGAGATGGCTCTTCGACGGTAAGGAGCACCGATAGATGGGAACTAACGGCCATAGTCAAGGGTCAATCGTGGCGATTTTGCCGAGAGAGGCACTTCAACGTGAAGTGATAAGAAATGGCATTGTATACAACTCGATGCTGTACACGACCCAGCTCTGGTCACCCTGAGCACAAATAAAGCAGTGCTTAAACTGCTGTCAATGTGGGCATACCCAAGCCTCTTACAATAGGGCAAGGAGATGTGGTGAGTGCGCGGTCACCCATTAGACCAGGGACTGCCCGAGGAAGTCGGTACTTTGCTGCAACTGCGGCAAGAACCATAAATCGTGGCAGAAGGGGGCGTGTCAAAACTTCGCGGCATACAAGGCCAGCGTTCAGCTGGCACGGTAGGAGCTAATGGAGAGAACGGTGATATTTAGCAAAGGAGAAACTACACCAGCGGCATCAATTATAGCCACGGTAAAACCAACAGACGATCAAGGGCTCACACTGGTATCCCACCAAAAGCCGTAAGTACTCAAGAGAGGGCCAGGACGCCCGCGCAAACCGCTCCTGATCAATTCTCCACCACAAGTATTTGGACTATCTGTGTTAAATTCAAGACCACAGTCATCTCTTTTCGCCACGTGAGGGCAGAGAAACGATGGAGAGGTACAATACAATTTTAGCTAGTTCTATCTCGGACCATAGGCCAATTGCACTTCCTGTAAGTAACGAAAGACTACAGATAGAAAACTTGATGGGGGGAGGATGTTTTTATCGTAATGGTTTCCCCCCTCATGTAAATATTTAGATACGTTCATAGCCGCCTGTATGGAACCACAGGGCGCTAAATTGGGTTAAATGAAATCAAATTCAATGCTTTTGGGAGGATACAGAAGAGGGTAGATAGAATATACACCACTTGTTTCTAGCACTTTTGAGGTATTAAACCAAGTGAGCCCCGTTGTACCATCATTAACAGCTCCTACAAGTGTCTATCCTGTTACAGTTTGATGATTTTTTAGCTTAAGTCTCAATCTAAGAGGAGTATGGGGCTTAATCAGGAGAATGTTATAAATCAATTTGCACCAAGTGACTAAGTTTCTCTGCGCCACATTACATCTGGGTCGGGAAGCAATATGGGACGCCAAAGTACGGTTGTCAAATGACAAAGCCAAGCTTGGTGGTTTAGTTGGATAACAAGAGGCAGTGGTGAAGCAATATATCATGATCACCAACGGGATGTGTAATGTACGAACTGTAAGGATGTACATATAGCCTTTAATCATAGTCGTTTCACTTCTTTCTCCATATATTTAAAATTTTCTTGGGGTACAATAAAACCAGCTCGGTTTCGTCACACACTTAAATGAAGACCTGAAAGAGTAAAAGATGAGAACCTAGTTCAATACTCTTCTAAATCTAAGAATCTGTAAGACTTCTAGAAACTTTCGACTAAATTTTGGCTAGTACTGTAATGTTATAATTTAGATAATTTAATATTTATACTTGTGAGGGTGTTACCGCTGGAAAGAAGTCGTGAAGGAGGCATAGGAGGAAGCACACAACCCGAGATATAGATACTCCCGGCCTGTAGGAAGATATGAAATACATGTCATAGTATATTCACAGACTCAATATTACAACAAACAAAATTAAATCCATCAATTCTCATAACAAAGAGCTCCTGTAAAGCCTTCAGCAATTTGATGAGATCGTAACTGTCTGGACAATTGAGGCTCTCATTTTACTTACCATGTTAGTGGTGCAGTGGTACAGCCTCGGACACAAGGTATCACATTCAGTGTTGGTCGAACTGAGCCGTTGATTGATAGACTTAAATTTATGTCTCTGTTGAGTCCTAGGCTCTGAAAGGCTACTTGGGGATCTATCTGATAAGTTATTTTACTTACAGACTAATTTGAAATACTGTATTGCAATTTTATGCTAGTTGATCCTGATGGTCAAGCCCTAAGATATTGAGGCTTGAGAGAATAGTGTTGGTGAATATATCGGGGAAGTGCCCTGGCATTCCCGACACGTATCGAGTGAATTCCAGCGTCGCCGCTGAGGATAACTTGGTTCTACCGCTGCAAATTGGACTCTGATGTAGTTATGTATTGTCTCATGCCATGCAAGTGCTATGCCCAACAAAATATCTAATGGAACGGCAGAAATGGGTTTGTGCGGTGTAATCTGTAATACAAGAAGGTTAAAGTGCACTGTAGCCATTATTCATATGACCTTTCAAGATGTAAAGACAAGCAGATTCCGATGTAATACAGCTAAAAAAGTCTCCACATCATCTCCTTTTTCGTACAATTTCGATTTAATCTTTAAACAAACGACATGTCTCAACATTCGGCATTTGTCGCGAATCTTTCTCAGAATCCACTAAGTCCAATTATAGAGCAATTCCGAACTGATTATAGCGGAGGGGATTCTCGTTCAAAAGGTAATAAGTACTTGATAAATTATACGGATCAGGCTGACAGAGTAGCTATTGCTAAATTTTTAAGTGACTTGAGACAATACTGTGAAGATTTTTGGTACACAAATAAGGAGTTGCTGCTCAAGAAATTTATCCTTATGCAATCTTGTATTGTGGATGAATCAACTTACCCCTCTATTTTTAATCATCTCATTTATGCCATTGAACAAGACTACGAGGAAACTTTCATCCTCCAAACTTCCATTAATCTTGTTGAAATACTATCATGCTCCATACTTTCACCGGTTCCATTTCAACGAGTTCCATGTTCTCCAATTAATAGCTTGAGCCCGGTTCCGCATGTTGTTCGCGCATCTCACAATCATCTTCCCCCGAATCCTACAGAAGTGATTGAAGATGAACTTGGCAACAAGTCATATATAAAAATCTCAATATTCTGGGAAAGATTCTTCGAAGGAAAGTCGTGGTCTGATCAAACAAAGCGTATTTGGGAGAGCTATGAAGATTACAAAAAGAACGCTGACCCCAAGTATTGCCGTCTCAACTTGGCTGAGCAAGGAATATGGGACTGGCTCGCTTCTTTTAATAATCTATTTTTGAGCCAGCTTTATGGACTTCCATCGCTACCGTCGGAGCATTTTCCTACCGTTGAGATAAAAGAAAATGATCTCCCGCTACGTGGAAAAATCTATCTTTTAACAGCCGTAGGAGGATGGAGAAGAAATGAAGCTCAGGGGCAGCTTGATTTCCATACAAAATCCATTGACCGATCTTTTGACAAGTACGATTGGAAACATGTGAGGGTTGTAGGTGGCCTTTCTACGAAACCTGCAAAAGGTAGAAGAAAGGTGAGGTTCGTCCAACTGGCGACTTACGTTCGGAAAATATTTTGCGCACAACCACTTCGTCGTTTTGTGCATGGATTCTGCTTATTCAAAAATGAAATTGAATTCTGGCTGATTGATCGAACGGGTGCTTACAGTTCAGGCTTTATAAGTATTGAAGATGATGAGCAAGTTTTGGTTCGTGCCATCTGCTCATATTTACTGATGAGTGACGAAGAACTGGGCCTCGATACAACCATTCGCAAAGTCAATGGACGGTCCATAATAACAATTGATAATGAGTCCGGGCAGACTAAAGAGATTGAGATCAATCCTTACCCCATGGTCAGTCAACTAGAGCTTATTTCAACTGGTACAACCTGCTATCGCTCACTTGACGATAAATTTTTGGTAAAATATTCTTGGCGCAAGATTTATGGAAAAACTGAGATTGATTTGCTGAAAGTTGCCCGCCCGGTCAACGGTGTTATTAATCTAGTGGCATCAGATATACTTCATAGATTTACAGACTATTGGGAAAACCTCAAATCTTTGGGTCCCAAAAGATGGCACCTCAAGGGAAAATATCAATCAGCAGGAAACTCTGAAGAAGCTGAGGAAGGAGAATCAGATGTATTTAAAGAGTTTTCCCAACAAGAACTAACAAGAGTCGTTCTTTCACCATATGGACGTCCACTTAAATCTTGTACATCAGTATTGCAATTTCTTACTATCATACGAGATGTCATCATGGGGCATCAGCGTTTATATACTGATAAAGAAATTATCCACTGTGATATCTCTGAAGGTAATATCATTATAGTAACACCAACAGAGGATGATAGATCAAAAGGAATGTTGATCGACCTTGATTGTTCACTTGCGCTCAACGACTATTATTTATCAGACAAAATACAATATGCGGTTGGCACTATGAAATTCATGGCGCTTGAACCGATGGAAGTGAGAAGTACATCTAGAACTGGGCGGGATTATGACTTCAGGTATTGTTGTTATTATGATTTGCTATCATTTTTCTATGTATTCCTTACTGGATGCGTCGAATATGGACGCGACCCAGGTCTTCCAGAGCTTAATTTGAATTCTTGGTGCTCGATTGACATGGAGTATAACATTAGAAACAAGAAAAATGATATCGAGTTGAATTTCAGAAATTTTATAAACAACAAATTTTCAAACAGTTTCATTGATGCCAAGGAATTAGCCATAGAACTGCAAAAGGAGTTGTTTGGAAAACGTAGTTACTATTACCGACATTCTCGCCACGAGGATTTCATGTACAACAATATCATCATGGCATTTAATAGAACCATCGGACAAATTGAAGGTAAGGTTGATTAAACATCATCGTAAATCGCTGTTGCCTACCACTAGATACTGACAAATCTTCGATTTAACTAGCGGGGAAAATACCAAACAGAACGTGGACTAATTAAACAACTGCGGATACGTGAAGAAGCGTGGTGATTATTTTATTTTGTAGAATCAATTATCGGATCTCTCGGCAAAGTCGGAAAAACTGTGATGTTCCTGAAGAATTGTGGGTACTAGTTTTAATAATGAAAGCAGTTTTAACTCTTATGAGAATTAATGCAGCGATTCACTATGACTTTTTCGTTTATTTCATATTCTTAACCTGGCTCTAACTTATCTCTATCCTGATTCGCATCTTGAAAATAAATTGAATTATAAGATTGTTTGTCAAATGTAATCATCTCCGCACCTTGACACAATGGAGTTAAAGTTGTGATTATTGTTTAATATAATTTGAAGTGGATGAGTTCATCTAGCTATGATATATGATCGGAACTTTGAATAAGTTTTGAATCACTCTGTTTATTTCTTATAAATTCATGCTCTGAATTTCATTTGCAAATACTAGTATGAGGGTAAGGAGACAGATAGAAAGGAGGTATCAGATTTCAGGTTAAGCTGAATTTACAAGGACGTCGCACGATATCTAATAGATGCGCGCAGCTATTAATTTATTCACGAATTCTGGACAACTGCCAGCAGAGCATGCCGAGCCTCCGATAAACTCGTGTTTCTCTAAACCATTGCTTATAACATCTAGTAAACACCTGTTCCTATCTGCAATCAGAAATAATATTGAAGCAATCCCATTAAATCAGTTTGGGCTATCAGTATCGTCAGTAAGCTGATGATACAACTAGCTGAATATGAGCACCAACATGAGGTATGTCTGCTTGTACCAACAGTCGAACCTTCCCCGTGGGTACGCACCAATTAGAAGTTCCATTGGCTTTAATCAAACAAGCATGACCTTCTCATCCACGCACACTAGCGTCGCGAGAAAAGTGGTTATATTTTGCCGGATCTGAACCAGCGATCTACTGTCTCGAGTGGGATGAGTGTCCAAGCAATCCAGCACCTACTTAGCAGATCGGCAAAAATGATGTACCACCGCGCCATCCAGCCACGTCGGTATTTAAAGCGTCGCACGCACTCCCGAGATCAAGAGTATGGTGCGTACAATGCTCTTTCATTTGAAAACCCCTCGCCAACTCTCAGTACTTGACCCTTTTGAGATTGTATCAGACTTTAGCATCATCATGTTGTCCAGATCTTTTTCACACCCATCTCAAAATTTCTTCCTTCCATATTTGTGCAGCACACTTTACATCCTTGGGCGGGTATTCGTATTCTTGTTGGTATTTATGTGGAGGCCATTTGAGGCTAGAGACAGTTTATTCGAGAGGTGAGGCCGTTGAAGTACGGATATCCTAAGTCATACTCACAGACTTGATGAGGCTTTGACCGGAATTAAATTTGTTGGGAGTGAGATATTGACTTGATTGGGAGAGTGGATTGTTACTTCGTGGTCCCACTTGTTCGGTTTTGCGAAGTTTGACTGAACTTGGCTCTGGGAGAATATTTCACTTCCGGCTTCGTTGAGGACAGTATGTTCATGTGTTCAGTCTATGGCCTCCGGCTCGCTTCTCTGAAACATGTATGTATAGCAAGGCGCTTGATAGTATGTTCGGGGCATCATAGAAAGCGCTGGACACCTCAGGTCTCCAGCAGGTTGGGTAGCTTCCTCTTAGGCTGAGCTAACGGCACGTGATTTGAAATTTCACGTCCTACGCGCAGGCGTGACATCAAGAAATCCAAAGATCATCCAAAGAAATTACAGAATGCTGGCACAGCGGGAGGCTTATACAGAAAGAGATGTTTGTTTATTTTACGACTTGAGTCTATGAAAATCTAGCACTTTGAGCTCCTCTCTGGCCCAGGCCACACCTTGTACAGTGCTCGCATCCTCTTTTGTTACTCGAACCCTCAAAGTCTATTGGAAAAAATTGAAAGTAAAGCACATGTAAAACAATTGAATATTGGTGGCGTATTGTCTGGTCTTAGCAGTCCCTCGTAGTCATAAAATCAGTAGGGACTTGTATTTAATTCTATTCTATTTCGGTAGTCGAAAGAACATTGATATGTTGCCCATGATGAATAGCCATTCAGCTCAGTATTAACCCGTGGAATTTAGCCACCTTTTGCACGGATCCTTCTACACAAAAAATGACAGCAGTGGAAACTGCGTGCGCGGGAAAAAGTCTCAAAAAACCTGCAGCCCGGGCCAGGCGAGGCCTAGACACCGGGACCACATGAGTATTAAAGTTCTGGGAGATATCTGGTGTGATAGAACCAAGCTGGCTGTGATGAAATTCGATGTATAGAACTAATTAAAGAAGAAAGGAAACTATTTCTATCAAAGAAGGTTACTTACAAGTCTTTCTAACTCGTCCCTTCCTTCAATATTAGATGGTCCTTTAACCAGACGTCATTTCATTCTCACTCATACATTACCTCATCCCAACTCGCACGTCATATCGGATGATTTAGAAATGATGTAACCACCTTCGATCTTGCTTCGGCGCCTGCCTGAGCCACCGCACGGTCAACCCGTAACATCTGGAAGGATAGAAGTGAACGTTGACCGTCAAGTCAATACTGTACGACTCGTAAGATATTGGGTATTTAAGGATCAGGGATAAAAGGTTAGGATCAATGAGATTTTTGGTTATACTGAACTTATATTTAATTAAAAGTGTTAGGGTTTTAATCCATATCTTATTATCTATCTTTGTTCTACTTCGCTTAGGTAGAAACATTGTGTTCTGATTCCGGGATGGAATAGCATTTGCACCACCGAGATCATCACCAACCGAGACCTCACCAAAGCTGGTAGCGATCGAAGATGAGTAGTCTTCGTCTACTCCGCACTGCGTGCAGTTCGGTCTAGTATGTCTAGATTTCAACAAAGAGGTTCGCGTATTCATCTATATCTCCCTTCTTTGTAACAGTCGAGGCCGACTTGATTCAATCCACCATCTCCATATCGGGTGCTGGGTACGCTCAGGAAACTCATCGGATGGCTTCTCCTCCTTGATCAAAGGTCGAAGATGGGTAGGGCTTTGCCTGGATTGGGACTGGTCACTAGGACCACTCCCTCTTCGAGTTTAGGCTGTGGCAGAGCAAGGCTCACGGAAATGTGAATGGGGCGCTAAGGAGGTATCAAGGATGGCTCGTTCCAAATGGGAAGTATGGTATAGGAGAATAGATGAGCCGGGGAAAAATGATGATTCTCAGGTGGCCAATAGAGGGAGTTTAGACTAGTCTACACAGAGCATATAACGTATGGGAGAGTACGTGGTAGATGGTCTTCCCAAGGCACAAGTTGTTAATTCCTATTGAGTTATTGTCTTTCTAGTACATCTAAATTCATTAAACCCTTACAGGCTTCGACCCTACCATCTGATCTGATCGTGGTTAGCTTCATGGTAGAGGTGATAGGAGGATGTGTTGAGAGATGAAGCCGATACAGACGGCGAAAGCGATTGGGAATCCTCGCCGATTTGAGGACGGTGTTACTCAATCTCGCCTCTGCAGACTCTTCAGTGAGAGCTGGCGGCTCGTAGGAGATACCAGTGACCGGTGTTGATAATAGTCCCCCGCGACCATGTATTTGTACAAACTACTTCGTACTCGATGCAGAATAGCAGTGAAATGCTATCTATCTGTTTCGACACCACGCACTCTTCGACACCTCCCATCTCATACATGCCCACGGATACAATTTTGGAAAGGGTTTTACTTCAATCATTAGACAGGATTTTTCAAATCAAGCATTTTGCCCGACATGAATTTGATGGCGAGAATGCGGGCGACACTATAAACACTGCCATGGTTGGATGGTGCGGTGGTAGATCACCTGGGCCCATCTCACAAGTACATTCCGGACACCTTGAACACACATCCCACTTAACACAGCAGATCGCTGCTTTGAGTCCGGCAAAACTCAGCCATATTTCTCGTGACGCTGGTGTGCGTTGATGACAAGGATATGCTTGGATAATTTAAGGTGATGGAACTTCTATTTTTTGGGTAGTCACGGAGGAGGTTCGACTGTTTGGTTAAGCAAACAGACCTCGCAGTGGTGCTCGCGAGTGAAATGCAGAGTCTGAATTTCGGTCGTTTCGAAAGGGTCATCCAAAATATGTACATGGCACTGATCTTGTGTCATGTCCCGATAGCTGGATATACACTGAATGATAAAAAACAGGAAGTTTGCTTCTTTCCGTGCTCTGAGTCTGCCGTCGCCTGATGAACAGACAGTAGCTGTCATGTAGAGACATGATTCATTCATGAGTTGATATTGTTCAGACGATCATGACTATATCACAACGTCATGTACAGACACGATTCATCGTTTGTACCTGTTGTATCAACCATGACTATGTCTCAGTGATATGAGAAACATCATTGACTAGTTACTAGAAACCTAAACAAGATCCTAAACACACAACTGAGACTGGGAGAATTTTACTGAGTAAGTAATTATTCTGATGAATCTAGATCTAGAGGAACGTAATCTGGTTGCTTGGCTCGAGGTATATGAGCCTGAGCATATCATGTATTATAAACAATATAGAAACCTATCTCAATCAGAATCATCATCCTAATTCATGTCACCATCAATAGCTGCAAAGGACAGTTTAACCATTTCCTTATAGTAGCTCTATCGTTGAACATATCCGGAATCTTTTCAACTTCCGAGATGCGGCTATCAAACCACTTTGGTTGTAAATTAGATGGCGCCGTGCCAGGGCACATAACGTTTCTTAAAGTTGCGTGACGGTAGTCTCAGTCTTGGAATATTACCCTACGTACCGACGCCCTTCAGATCCCGGCATGTACTGAAAGAGCCATAATCTTCGCGCCAAGTGCTCCGAATTTTAAATACATCAAAACTGCCCATGCTCTGGGTCTTTTGTAGGCTAAGGGTTAGAAACAATTTTCACGATAAAACTGAATGTTGGGGGCGACGAGCCACTAATGCCAGTACGGATAGGGCTACAGGTTAGTGATCAAGTCAGGCCCAACTAGGTAATGTGAAGCGATTATCTAAGTTGGG